AGCCTGCTAACGCTAAGCTAGTCGGACAGCCTGCTAACGCTAAGCTAGTCGGACAGCATGCTAACGCTAAGCTAGTCGGACAGCATGCTAACGCTAAGCTAGTCGGACAGCATGCTAACGCTAAGCTAGTCAGACAGCCTGCTAACGCTAAGCTAGTCAGACAGCATGCTAACTCAGAGCGACGTTAAAGCTGAGTGTATGCAGACTCCAGCAGCCAGAGCCTGAACTTCAGCAGTCAGGCTGCAGCCTTTACCTGTTCATGTTTCTACAGTAGAATCACCATGACGACCGCTTTAAAGCCTCTTTTTGTGCGGGTGTCCTCAGCAGGATAGAGTTTGTGTTGTTTGTGTAGCCTCAGGTTTACGTTGTTAAATAAGGATGATGATGGTGTGTTTCAGATCATTTTACAGAGAAACATCAAAGTAACGTAACGAGTAGGATAACGAACGCCTTTATCCTGGAATTAACTAAGTAACATGCTGCCTTACTTTAAGGAAAAGTGTAATCTGAGTAATAACTTTTTAAATATTCCCATCCCGACCGGTCAGTTGGAAAGTCGGGTTCATGTTGGCCGTACTCACTGGTGACGTTGCTGATAAAGGCGGAGGAGAAGACCCGGTGGAGGACCAGGCCGGGGAAATGTCCGAGCTGGAACAGAGACATGAGGATGTTGACCGTGGCGAGCGGCGAGCTGAGCGCCTTCAGCTCCACCACCTCTTCCAGCCGGGAGAAGAACTGCTGCTCATTGGAAGGACGGTAGCTCATCCGGCTGAACGGGAACACGAGCTTCTGGATCACCTGAGGACACACACAAACACACCTGCAGTCCTGTGCGCAGCTGTCAAGGTCACATGACCGCCAGACCGGCCTCACCTTACTGTCCAGATATTCCGCCTTCTTCACCAGAAAGTCGGCGATGGTGTCGAGCAGGCGGGTTTCTCTCAGCCGATGGCGGGCGATGTATTTGGCGATCAGCGCCATCGTGTAGGGCGTGATGCTGTCCACCTTCTTTGGTAACTCCTCTGTTGGAGAGAAACAGGTTACTAGTTAAGGTGAGTCACCTGAACAGCTGAGACAGCAATGGCCACGTGTTCGATGGCGAGGGATGAGGGTGAAGCGACCCACCTGCCAGGCTGCTGATGAACCTCTCCTGTCTGTTCTGGTAGAACAGGTGAGAGCTGAAGATCAGCTCCAGACTCTTGTTACTCGCCTCACGGGCGCACGCTGCCAGCATCTCGTCCAGCAGCGCCATCTCCTGGTCTCGAACGCCGCTCACACTCGCCAGCGTGTGTTTGACCAGACGCAGGATCTTCCTGAGGACAGACGCACACGTGCAGTTAACCGCTGCCACGGCGCCAACATCGCAAACCTCAGCACGGGTACCAGAAACAACAACCCAGGTAACGCGCGTTCTCACCTGTTGGCGACCAGCTGTTCAGGGTTAGGCGTGCCGTTATTAGCGCCGGCGGCTTCCTGCGGTTGCATTGACCGCCATTTGAGCCTGTAGTAGGAGAGCAGCAGGAAGAGCGTCTGCGGGTGGCGCTCTCGCTCCAGGTTCTTCTCCAGGCCGGCCAGGCAGGCCTCCGTGAGCGGGTGCTGGCTGCCCGGGTGGAGCTTCATGCTGGAGCTGAACACCATCGACACGTCCTTCTGGTTGAACTGGTTCAGCCGGGCCTGAGACTCCGCCTCCAGAACCTGCACCACCTCAGAGTCGCTGGGCAGACCTGTGAGGGGTCAGATAAAGGTGAGTGGCGTCGCTGCGGGTGATAGCGGGCGTGCGTCTGAGCGTCACGCAGCGACTCACCGAGCGCGGCGACGGCGTACAAGCAGTTCACGATGCTGAAGTTGTCGAACTTGGCGCAGTCGCTGACGATGGCGTTGCAGAGCGTCCGGAAGTCCTGATGCTCCAGGATCTGTCGGGCATCGCCCTCCACTCCGGAGGCCTCGCCGTCGGTCTCGCTGCTGGCGCGGGTGGGGGGCGTGGCCTGCAGCAGCTGTCCGATCTTCTGCAGGGCGACGGGGTAGTGGTTGTGGGAGATCTTGGCGGGGTTCTGGGTGACCCAGCGCAGCACCTCGTCGGGCCGCCGCGAGCGCTCGATCAGCCGCTTCATGGTGAAGAACGTGTCGTAGCTCATCTTCTCGTGGATGAAGTTCCACGTCTTCTTCTTGCTAGTGGCAGCGCCTCCTGCGGGCCCGCCACCCCCGTATGCGTGGAAGGCGCCATGGTGCTGGAAATGGGGGGGCAGCGGGGGCGGAGCCAGGTGATGGGGCTGCGGGTGGGGGTGGTAGTGGAAATGTGCTCCTCGGTGGGCGTCGGGGCGACCCTGGTACAGTGGGAAGGCGGGGGGAGGTGGGGCTGCATGGGGGTGAGGCACCTCGAGCACAGATAGTCCTGGCCTGCGCCCCTGTTTTACCCCGCCCCCTCCACCACCCCCTCCTCCTCCCCCCGCGGTGCCGTACAGGCGGGCGGCATACATGGCGACAGACTGAGCAGCAGGGCGGGGGAGGCAGGGAGGGAGGTGGCGAGCTCGGCTCAGGAGGCGCCACCCAGTGGACGAACGCAGCATAGTCCAACAGCCAGACCGCCTGCAGACATCGGCGCAGCGCACCTGCAGAGACACACAGGTACAAATAAGCAGCAGGTCGCGCCTGATGGGCGGAGCAAATTCTGACAGATCCTAAAAATGCACATTCTGTCCTAACAAGGCCCCTCCCCGCATCAGGCAGGTCCACCCTAAAGTTGCATCATAGGTGAAGCTGCATGAACAAAGAGTCTCTTCCTGTCTGACAACTGATCTATGCCCCGCCCCACTGCACCATGTATACCCCTAATCCTGGTCACATCTCATCAGATGCGAGAAGCAGGATTTCAGGCTGAGCAAAGCGAGGCATTCACTGCCTGCAGAGAGCTCTGCAGGCAGATGGGGGCAGTGTTCGAAGTCTCAGCTACAGCCGCTCTGCTCGTGCTGTTGTTAGTCCGTGAGTTCTAACACCCAAAGAGCTGAAGTGAACCGAGTGTTAAAAACAATAACTTTTACTTTTGATCTCCCGCTCCACGCCATCGTTCCCTGCTCTCTTCCAGCTCACTTGTCACCCGAACATTCGGCAGTCGTACATGCTATTTCCAGCGTGGGAAAGCCAATAAACCACCCAGCTCTTGTCGGGAGACCCAGGGTTACCGGTGTGTGTGTGAGCATGAGGCGGCACACCTGTCACGTGTGTGTCAACGTGCACAAACCGCCGGTTTAAACCCGCGTTTGGCGTCTGTCAGATCTAAGCTGAGGAAATGGTGAGCTTGTAGTTGCTGACTGTCACCACCAGGTGGCATCTTTTAGAATAGAATAGAATAATCCTTTAATTGTCCCACAAGGGGAAATTTGGTTGTAACAGCAGCCAAAAAGACACATATACAAACAAACAGTACACAGGACACGGAACAGAAACATACACAATTTTTACATATTTACATCAAGGACAGTGGTTACTATGTACAGAGAGTACTGTACAGTTATTAAATCATCTAATAATCTAATAATCTTTTCACTCTCTCTCACACACACAGGAACACAGAACCATTTAGAACCATGTATATTTGTTGGCATGCAGACCTGATGTGAAAATCGTGTTACTGTCCTACAGTAGCACTCACCTGTCCAGGTAATGTCTGAGTGAACATGCTAACTGATTACCACTAGGTGCTCTCATCACACCCACACCTGCAGAACGGACACCAAAACTGAACTGAGCATGAGAGACCCTGAACCTGCCCAGCAGGGGCACCTAGTGAACCCTCCCCTGATCACCTGACAGTCAATGAGCTGCTCGCAGACCACGCCCCCTAGCTGTCCTCCTATCACCTGAAGTCAGGCCCACTTGCTAACATTAGCATTTAACATCCAGCATTGTCCTTTAGCCCCAAATCTGCTAAAGTGCCCGTGGGGTCACAGCAACGTCACCCGCTACGTCATAAAAATATGATGTCATGCTTTAAATAGCCTTCAGGGAGGGAAAGTAGGCTCCTCGGCTGCGCCAGCAGGCTGCCGGACAGCTGGCAAAGCTAGCCGGCTGACCCCGCTGAAAGCCGGAGCTAGCGGCGGATAGCATCAGTTCATCAAACCTGCAGCTGCTGCTTACTAATCCGGGCAGAGCAGGCTAGGTATAAACTAAGTTAAGCTAAGCTAAGCTAAGATACTGTGGCTTCCGTCTGCAGGGCTGTTAGCATGCTACCTTCTACTAGCCGCTGTTAGCCCGCCGGGAAGCGGGGGACTCGCCGGGTTGTACGCAGGTCACGGCGCGCGCTCCCCAACCGATGAGCGCGTGACAGAGCGGGAGAGTTTACCTCATGGCTCAGAAAGGCCGCAGCTACGCTCCTGAAGGTCCTGAGGCCACAGAGAGTGCGGGATCAGCGGGGAGACAGTCCGCGGTCAGCCGCTCCGATCCTCCTCACAGACGGGGACGCCATCCTGCTCTACCCGGCATGCACCTGGAAGAGAGACCGACAGCGCCCCCAGGCGGCTGTAGCCGGGAGCGGCTCTGTGTGATTTTATTGTTTTTAAATATATTCATGTTGTAACCGCATCAGCTAAAGACGTTTATTGCATGTTAATAATCTATTTCTGTAGGGCGTAGTCCGTGTGCCCAGTAATAAGCGACCTTTAAAAGTGATCCTTGTGTAGCCGGATCACTTAGAGGTCAGAGGTCAGCGCTCCTGCTGGCCTGGATTCATGTGTTTGAGTTTCAGTTCGGTGTCTTGTGATCTGCAGCCCTGAGCAGAAATGTGAGCATGAAGGGAGCAGCAGTTTATGATTAATGTTCAGTCACACTGGAAAGTTTGAAATAAAAGAGTTTCTGATTAGGAATCTGACACTAACTCATCAGCATGTTTAACAGGGTTTGACCCGTGTGTGAGTGTCTGGGTGTGTTCAGAATCAGAATACTTTATTGATCCCTAGGGGAAATTATTTTTCGTTACAATGCTCTATTATAAACAAACATTAACAGAGACAGACAATAAACTAACTAAGAATAGCACAATATATACAGGCATATATATATACATAAAAGTCACTTATTAATAAATAGCTGGAAAAAAATGTTGTGTTACAGTTTGTTTAACTGGGAGCTGTTTAATGATCTTTTTGTTTGTTTTTAAGCCATAAAATATATTTGTGCACAGAAAAATGCAGAAAATATTGAACCCTGCATAGTTGTTGTGGAGATCCGTCTCTATGCTTCTTCTAAAAGGTTGTTTGCGGCTCCTTAGCGGCCGGCAGGGGGCGCCAGAGGGCGGAGTCAGCAACAAGGTAGTAGACGAAGAAGAGCTGCAGGTAAACATGTCGGCGCGCTGCTGTCACGGAGCAACTCGGGTGAACTTGAAACGCGTTTAGCTCGGCTCGCATCAGCGTGAGAGAGCCGGAGGATGGCTCACCGCTACCTGCGGCTGTCGGCGGGCTGCCGCGGCCTGTTCCGCCTGCTGCCGCCCTCCGGAGCTCCGGCCAGGCTGGTAGGTGCACGACGGGGCTAACATGCTAAGAGGCTAATCCCGCAGTCCCGAGCCCAGAGCCAGCGGGAGGCTGAGGCTGCGCGAAGGCCGCGGGACCCGCAGGGGCAGCTGACTGCAAGCTTACGATAAACAAACAGGAAGTGCACTGATACCAGCTACAGAGGTACAATGTACACCTACGTTAAAGTGGCGGTTCACTTCTTATCACTTTATCTCCATGGTAACTGATGCTGGAGAAGTTAGAGGATATGACATCAGTACCCTCTGACCAATGGGGAGTAGCCCTGGATCCCTCGGATCTTTGTAAGCGGACAGTAGTCGAGGCAGAACACCTGCACAGGTACAACCGCCTGAGACTTAGACTGAGAAAACGTCTGCAGCAACTCAGACTCACACAACTAACCAATCAGGTGACTGTGTGAATATTCGCATAACAATGTAAGCGGTGACCAGGAACACCCTGAGCTGAGGAGTATCAGCTGCCTCCAAAGAGCTTTGGGCTCCATCACTACACCTGTGGTGTCTCAGGAGACCTGATTACGATGGCGTTCATTACGTGTTGGCTTTAACTTCCTGTGTTGTGTAGAGGCAGCTAATGGAGCTGCTTGGCACTCCGATTTGTCGCTACAGAAGCTGCTGTTTATGGAGTCATACCTGGGAACAGCAGCCTGAAGCAGGATGAGTGTTTTTAATGTGTTTCAAAGTAATGTTCTCTGAACAGTCAGTAAAATCAGCTGACAGGAAGTCTTCTCTTCCTCCATGCAAAGCTCTGCGTAGTCAAAGATGCTGCTTGCTGTGAGGTCATCACACAGCAAACAAGCAGCGGGAAATGTTTGTCAGGTTAGCCAACAGAATGTATTAACATC